AATACATTTTTTTCTTTTGAATTCACCATCTACTACTGGTAATTCCAAAGTTTTTCTCTAGACTAATGATCTCGTTTTCTAAAAGGTAAATGCAGTAAAATATTCACGTGGTTTGGTCATCAACCTGTCAGCAGCTAAACCTAACAATTTGAACATTTCACTAATTATGTTTGAATTTAACAACATTTCTAAGCGATTTAACTATACTACTACATAAAGCTAATTCTAAGAGTATTTCTTTGTTGATTCAAAATTTTGCTATCTATAATTCAACTCAAAATAATTCACTTGTGAACTGGTCATCACAGTTTAAAGCCAACATGTACATTACTGATTAGACACAATACAAACAAACTAAAAAAACCTTTTGGGTCTCCAGAAGGTTGAAAAGATATAAAATATAAATACATTTTTCCATGTTTACAATAAACATAAACCCTATGGTATGAACAATCTGAAGGCATAAAACTACTTATTTGATTCACTTCTTGTCCTCTGAAAAACAAAATAAACACTTGTCAATAAGTATGCTTAAACATATCATGTAGTGATATTTTTACAAATAAGGTCTTCTAACTAAATTTATTGGGTTTGATGTGTTTCATTCACAGTTGCTTTGTAAGTTTTATAATGAATTACAGATTTCAAATAAAACTTCAAGCCTAAAAAAAGAGCCCCTAAAACAATGAATTTCATTTTATAGTTATAATTCACCATTAAAATTATTACAAACACTTAAATAAAAGCAAAACAAAATGAAACTGGAAGTATATAAGTAGTGCTAGTTTCATTAAGTTTTACCTTAAACCAAAGAATAAAGGTAATATAATTAAAAATGCTTAGTAAGCTAAATTCACAGGGACCATAGTAAATTGTGAAACCTCTAAAGATTATTATAATCTTAAATTGGTGTGTGTGTGTAAGAATTCTGGTATTAGTTAAACAGGTTAGTACAGTTATGAATTTGTACATAATTAAGTGTGTGTGGTAAGAGTTTTGCAATTTTGAGTTTCTATATGAAAAAGCATCTGATTCAAGCTGCATGTTCTGGCAGCAAAATGGTAATTTTTTGCTGTACCTTACTTTTGTACTTATTCACTACTCTTCTAACAATTCCTTATTTCCAGTCCCTCTATTCACAAACTACCTGATGACACTATGTCACTGTTGAGCATTTTTTTTAAATACGTCACTTATTATCTCCACTTATCATCTTCGAACAGGTGATGACACAGAATCAATTTCCCACTTAATATTTCATTTCAAATGATAAGCCAACGAAATATTATTAAAAAATATTTAAGAAGTAAAAAAAGTATTTCAATGTTCACAGACTATTGTCACATGAGAGTTGCCAAAACTGAGTCCTCAATAAAAAAAAAAAGGCTATTACAGAAAAAGGTGTTGACAAGACATACTTCACAGTAGCATTTTATACTAACACTGGTAAAGGAACTGTGATTAAAACACTCTCAAAAATATATATTCTTTCTCTCTAATGGGTGATGTCACTGCTGATGTCATTGACTAGACAACCAAAGACACGAGTACATGTTATGGACAACATAAGCATGTCAGAAACCATTGGCAACAAAGACTGGCAAAGGCACTACATCACCACCAATGCTCAGCACCTTGCTACTAATGACAGTAGCCTTTTTTAAATATGTAAAGATGGTCCATTTTCGTATATGCATTTAGAAACATGTTCTTATTTCAAACCTAGCACCACTTGATCCAAAAGAGTATGGATGGGCACATAAAGACAATTCCTACAACTGTGCCAGTGAATGTTGCACTATTGATGGGTACATAATGACAATTTCTACAACTGTGCCACTGAATGTTGCACTATGGATGGGTACATAACGACAAATTCTACAATTGAGCCAGTGAATGTTGCACTATGGATGGGTACATAACAACAATTTCTACAACTGTGCCAGTGAATGTTGCACTATGGATGGGTACATAACAACAATTTCTACAACTGTGCCAGTGAATGTTGCACTATGGATGGGTACATAACGACAGTTCCTATAACTCTGAATAAATAGTGCTTGTTGAAACATTTGTTTAACAACAAGTAAAAGTTTGTTAGTCAAATGTTTCAACAAGCACTATTTATTCAGAGTTATAGGAACTGTCGTTATGTAC